GAAATATTAAGAAGTTTATTCATTTTAATTGCTGGAAGATCCAAGAGAGCACAAAGAGTTAAATGAATTATTTGGAAGATACAGGAGAAGTTGGGGGCCTGATCCTCAATAAATAAATGGCGTTTCCATTGAGGGTGTATCAGATGCTCCCATACTGCTCAGCTTCTTCTTTTGGGTGGTTTGAGGGTTCATAAATCCCCAGACAGAGAGTCAGGGATGTCTTTCCAAACTGTGCCAAAAGATGAGGGTGATCCATTGAGTCATGGAAGTTTTGTGCACATTTGTTCATCACAGCTGTATGAGACAGCAGCTGTATTACAACACTTCTGAAAAATTATGTATTAGAATCAAACCCTTAGCCACAATTATTTTTCACATCATTTAACAGTATCACAGTATTTTTAACTCTAGTTTAGCCTTCCCTGCTTCTCAGCCTGCTGCCACAAAGAGTTGACAAACCCAAGAAAAATCCCATAATAACCCCAAATGTGGAATCACAGCTGATTTGGGGAAGACAAACAATGTGTCCTGTCGTTTCCATCACTGAGAAATGTGAGTTTCTGGTTTGCCTTACTCCTGGAAAAAAAGCACAGAGCAAAAAGAGAAGAATTATCTTAGAGGAACAGAATTATCTTCTGATTAAGGCTTAATTAATAATGCGTACATAACTAACAGTGTGTACATAATTAATAGTGTGTACAATTCCCTGTCACAGGGCCAGTCTGACCTAAATTGCACTGGTAAGAGCTGAAAAGAACAGAATTTTATTCTGAGAAAGCAGGTAACTAGTGATGACACCCAAACCAGAAGAAAAATCACTTTCATGGGCCAAAAGCTGTTTGTTTTCCCTGCACAGGTGTGTGAAACCTCTGAGTGCTGCTCTTGTACAGTTTGAAATGCAACAACTGCATGCAGATCTGCTGCTTCCCGTTTCAAAGGCCTAACCAAGAGCGTTCTGAGGCAATCCAAAAGCTCTTTGTGGGTGAGAGGAGATGCAGATTCAGTTGCAAACTCCAGGAAAGTGCTGATGGATTTATTCCCCTGCGCAAACCCCTGGCACCGAGTGCTGACACCAAAGCCTCAGCCTGAGCCCGGCTGCTCCGAGTGCCTTGCCCATGGGTTTGTAAGGCCATTCCCAGCTAGTAATTGGTGACTGGATATGGTCAGGGCAGGCAGATAAACACTGGAGGAAGGGGGTGAATCACTGAGTAAATATCCTACCGATGCTGTAGGAGCTGCTGTTACTCACAGCACCTTTGGGGGGATGTGACGTGTTTGTTTTCAGGAAAATGTTACTTGAAAGAAGAATTGAGGTTAGATGTGTTCCAAATCCGCAGCTCCACACCTTCCTCACGCACCTCTTGTCTCCTTCAGACCAGTTTAACATCCCCCCTTCTTCCCACCCATCCCCTTGGAACTTGATCCCCCACTCTGAGGTCACAACAGAGTTTTCATTCTGTAAATGCCAGCGTAGTTGCATCATTTAAAGCCCCCAAAGCAGATGGTCTGGGTTAAAGCAAAAAGGCCTTTTTTTTTTTGCCAATGAAGCAGCATTATAGTGATTAGAGCAGCCTGTTGGCAGTTTCTGTCAGCGATTTTTGCAAGCATGTAATATATAAAAGGATAAAAATACCATTTACCGTGATTTGCTCACCACAGAAAGAGGCCAGAGTGATACAGTACCAAATTCAGGGGGAAAAGCCCTGCAAGTAGTTTCCTGTCCTCTCTTCTGCACTTTTCCCAGATAAATTAGTCTGATTGAAGAGCCTTACTCTCCTTGTGGGTGCTGGGGCACCCCATTAGCCCACAGCCCCCCTCTGTGACAGCAAAGTCCTCAGCAAAACTGGATAGTTCTGGAATCATGGAGCACATTTTTGAACACAAAAACCTCATTACTATGCTTTGAACTCCATGAAATCTGCCATGATTTGTAAAATAGCTCTACCTTCAGTTATGGTGCAACATTTCAGCAAAAAACTGAATATTGACAAACAATACATAGAAAGTCACACTCAAGATGCTGCAGTGACACCAGAAAATCCTCCTCCAGTCCCTGCTCTCCTGATCCACTTGGCCTGAAATGTTTTCTTGACTTCTACTTACTATTCTCATAAAAACCACAGGGGTTTCTTCTCACTGCTACTTGTTTTGTCCAAGATCCAGTAATTGGTACCATGTGAATTCACATTTTGCTGTGGCAGAACAGAAATGGGGTTCCAAAAAATCACTTCAGCATCTCAACCTCTGGCAAACACCAGGGCTACAACCCCCCAGCCTCTAAGAATCCATGGATTTACACATCAAGTAGCTTATTTTACTCCTGCTGGTAACCCCTATGTGAATAATTACAGCTCAAATAGAATCATGATAAAAAATTAATAGTTTTTAGATTTTCGTGAAAATTCAGTTGTCTTTTTAAACAGGAATTGTTTTACCCTTGGTTTTACATGTGCTCCTTTGCTATATTAATAATAATTTTAGTTATTGGTAACATATCTAGCTAAGTTTGGTGCACCAAAAATTATGTCTGGGGTATGAACCAGTGAACAGTTAATGATGCCAGAAAAAGAGGAAAAAATTAAAATCAGAGTCAGAGCACCCTGTGAAGTGTTAAGGTACATTTTAAAGGCTTGGTGGGAGGGTTTGGCTTCTCCAGGCTTCTTGGATCATCTTCCCCCTGATAGCCTCAGTTAATTGAGCTGTGTGTGAGAAACATTCCCTCAGCAGGGAGCCCTTCAGCTGGGCTGGGATTCTCAAGGAAAAAACCTCCTTGGAATCCCTAGGGCACGGGAAAGATCCTTTGATTCAAAGCCTTTCTGAGCTGGGCTCACCTATTGCAGCTCTCAGCCTTGTTGGTGCACAAAAGAGACTTTCAAATTTCCCCATTTGTCTGCCTGGATCCTTTCTCCAGCCTTGATGGCCACAACTGAATCATTTCAGGTGACAAAAACCCCCTAACAGTGGCTTCTGTTCTTCCAAATCTTCTAACAGATTTCCAGCTGTACAATTTCTAACTTTGAAAATATAACCAAAATTTTCATTTTTTAGGTCACTATTATCTTCTGGTCTCAGCAGAAGAGCAGTGGTGTAATTAACATACAAATATCAATATGTTTAGAAAGAAGAAATATTGTAGGTGGATTACACACTGCCTGTACACAGATTTCCATTGTAACAGTGTTTAAAATGATTAATTTTCATTTATTTCCTTGCTACAGCATGATCATAGTGTGTCTGCTGTGAATTTTTTCAGTGCAAAATTCAGAATTGTGTTTCATATTTATAATTGGTCAAGTAACCCAGATGCCAATTGCTGTTTGCTTTCTGTTTATTGCACTTACGGATGAATTATGTAAATATTCCCAGAGTGGCCACACTAGGTTTCAGAATGAACACCTTCAGAGAATCATGGAATAAAATCTGGAATGATTTGGGTTGGAAGGGACCTTAAAGCTCATCCAGTCCCATGGGCAGGGACCCCTTCCATAGACCAGGCTGTTCCAAGCCCAGTTCAACCTGGCCTTGAATAATCAGAATTTCCCTGCACATTTCCACATAGTACCCGGTCAAGATTCCTGAGTGACTTTCCAAGTCTGGGACGAGTTTCTGGGAAGTTCAGCACCTCCAGAGCTTTCCCACCGCCCCTAGATTTGCCCTGATTTTTAAAAGAACGCTATAATTTGATATTTAATTATTGGCCAGCCTGGAAAGGAGGGAGCCGGGGAGGAAGGTTTGGGGCAGCTGCTGAAGGGTTGGAACCTGGAATTTCCGTGTTCCTCCGGAGCCCAGCCGGGAGAAGGAGCAGGGCAGCGGTGGGGCTGAGCTGGGGGGGCTCTGTGCCCCCTCTTTGGGTCACTTCTCCCCAGCAGCTCCGAGGAACCAGCAGCGCATCCCAGCCCAGCTCTTTGAGGCTCAGCGGGACCTCCGGGATTAATCCGAGCGGGAATGCTACGAATTCCTGCCGGCTCTTTCTTCACCGGGCGCGGCTGGGGCTGGGGAGCTGCCAGAGGAGAGCAGGGCTGGCAGCTCCCGGCATTCCAGGACTTGGATTGTCCCCAGCGGCTCGCTCAGGTGCTGCTCCCTCTGCCAGGTTGGGCACAGGAGCAATCCGAGCTCAATGCGCCTCCCTCCTCCCTGCTTTTAGGTTGGTTTTTTTGGAGTTATTGAATTCCCTGAGGCAAAATGAGAATGGAGATATTTTGGAATTGCTGGACCTCAGCATCACAGAAACCAGGGCTGGGAGAATTCACCATTGTCTTGCCACTTGGGAGTTGCTCTTTCCCTGATCTTAAGGTATTAAAGAGATTTTCATGGGGAATTCTGTTTTCTTTAAATTGTTTCTTTCACAGGGTGTCCAGAGCAGCTGGGGCTGCCCCTGGATCCCTGGCAGTGCCCAAGGCCAGGCTGGATGGGTTTGGAGCAGCCTGGGGCAGTGGCAGCTGTCCCTGCCATGGCTGGGGTGGCTCTGGGTGGGATTTAAGGTCAATTCCAACCCAAACCATTCCATGAGTAACTGCTACTCATGCAGCAGGAAGTAAGAATTGCTCATGGTCCAGGACTCCACCTGATAGAAAAGTGACAGAAATAAATGCTCCTTCCTGTGCAATGACATTTCCAATGAATTTGGCTTTTTTCTCCAGGTATATTCACCACTGGTGACACTGAATTGTTCAGCACAGTGTCCACCACAGTTAGTTCATTAAGTTTTAAGCTCAGCACCGATCTTTAATCCAAATCTCTCATTTTTTACCGTCCTTGGTGTGTGCAAAAAAAGAAATAGGATTAGGGAAATTAATTTATTTACAAACATTTTAAAAGCTTTTGATACTTAGTTCTGCAGGCTTCATCTTCTGGGTCCTATCAATACCTCTCTCAGTCAAGAGGAAGAAGGGAAATGAATTTTTACAGTGGACATTCATCATCTTTAAAATAGAACCATCACTAAGACAGAGCCTTGCCAAGAGAGCTCCATTAAATGTACTTAAGATTCATAAAACTTTCACAAGGAAAGAGCTCTAATAAGCCCAGAGAGGTCTGTTAAACATGGAGAAATCAGAGCTCTCCTGGTCCATTTGCACCCTCAGCTTAGTTTCTGGGGTTGTTTCAACTTGCTGGTCCCTCCTTGAGTTTGAAAACCTGTTCAGTTTTAATTAACATGTTGTCTGTTCAAATTTGGAACAAGATGGGAGGTTCAGGATGAAGTTTCAGAGATGGAGAAACCTGATCTGAGAGATCCTTACTGGGAGAGGAACTGTTCCTCCTCCTCCAGCATTCCTGGAGCTTATCATGTGCAGGCTCTGCTTGGGCCCCTGCAGCTGCAGACCAAGCAGAAAACACACTTTTTATCTGGCACAGCTGAGAGCTCCTTGCCAGACAGAGAATTTTCCAAAACTCTAATGAGTGCTATCCTTGGAATATCAGAGTGGAAGCACAGGCACACTGGAGCCCCAGGCACAGGAGACTGCAGGGCTTTCCAGATACCTCTGCTCCTGGAATAAGGAATTCAGGACGGGCACAAATCCCTTCTGTGAGTTTTGCTGGGCTGGGAAAGCTCCTGGTACAATTGGTATTCCCCAGTGGTGGTTCCCACCCAGTGCAAAGCCAGCTGGTTCAGATTGCAGGACGCTTTGTTTGTGCCAGAGGCCTCCTCCATCCCTCTGCCCTCAGGAACGGGAGCTGAGCACCAGGGCTGGGACATCCCTGTGCCTGCAGGCATCAGAGAGTGCTGAACAGGGAAAATGCTCCCAGCTGGGACAACCTTTACAGAAAAGATGAGGAAAACAAAGCACAGTGGGTGCTGCCTGTTGAACAAAGCAGGGATTTCTGACTGATCCCCCAAACAGCCCCCTCAGCTCATGCCCAGAGCTCAGAGGGCTGACGGGACAGCCCCTGCCTGCAGCCTGCCTGAGCAGCCAAACCAACCTGCTCTGCATCTTTCCCACCATTTCTTATCAAAACACTGATACAGGGAGGCTCTTACAAAACATAACAAAGCCTGCTGCTGCTGCCAGGGAATGATTGCTGCTAGCATTTATTTTTCCACAATTATTTTCAGGGTTGTCCTTTCGAGGCAGACCAGATCAAGGAGTGGTGCGTGCAGTACCTCATCCCAGGATAAATCCAGGGAGGCTCTATGACTCAGGAATGACTCACTGCTCCTCCTCTGTTCCTTCCAGACTCTTGGGGGTGTGCTAATTTATTGTCAGTCTGTATCTGCAGTCAATTATTCCCCCCAGCTCAGCTCTCCTGTGCAGAAGGAATTCGGGCACGTTCTGCTCATTCCTCACCTCCAAACAGGTGAGCAGACAGTGTCACCTTCACCCTGGCATCCAGACAAAAGGGGGAGGTATTTTTCCTTCCTTGAATAACATGTCCAGGTTAATGATTTGGAACTAGAGTGTTCCTACCAAACCCCCCAAATCCCAATTACTAAATCAAGATTGACCTTTCAGAGAGTTATTTCTAAAAACTTGGATAAAACAAGGTGGGTATGACTCAAACAGCAGGAGGAGAGTGTCTGCATCACAGTTAAGGCCCACAAATTGCTTTCAGTGTCAGAATCAAGCATTCAGAATAAAAAAAAAAACACAAAACAAGAATGATTAATCTATTTTTTCTCTTTAGCAAGACAGATTGAAGCATCCCAGTGGAGCTGCAGGGGAAGTGTTTAAACAATGCCTGCTTAGTCTCCAGCAAGTCCCCACTGGTAGGAATAGAAGAGAAGAAAAAATAACTGAAATATGAGATTTTTTACATGTGCATTTGCAAGATACATAAGCCCAGAGAATCAGAGAAGCATGAAAAACACTGAGTAGCAAATAGGCCTTTTCAGCTCTTCCCAGCCACATTTTGTGAGCCTCAGGACACAACAGATACAGCAGAAATGCATTAAAAAATATTTTTCCAGCAGCAATGCTGATTTAAAAATCCCTTCCCCCACATCATTCAGCTCACCCCCATCTGATTTTTGCACCTCCCTCTTCCCAGGCTGTTTTGTGAGACATTTTTCAGTGGCAGCACTGGCTGGAGATTCAGCATCTTCCAACTGTTTATTCCCAACCTTGTGTTGTCCTGGCACGAGGGGCTGTGTGGTAAATGCTTGTCCTGCACAGACTGGGGCTGAAGTGGCCCTGAGCTGGCCTTGCAAATCAAAGAGAGATTGAAAACAAAGGTGCAGAATGACAAAACAGCATGAAATATAATTTTGGAATGATATACTTTAAAATGTAAACAAATCCCCACATCCTAAATTCATGGAATTATAGAATCCTGGAATGGTTTGGGCTGGAAGGGATTTTAATGATCTTGTCCCAGCCCTCTGCCAAACACCTCTCATTAAATGTTCTAATCAGCCAAACCTTCTGAGGCACTAACGAGCTCTCAGAAACCACATAATGCTGCAACTTGACATTATTATATATTCAAATAATTTTATTAAGCACAGCATGGGAAGCTTGGCTGTTTTTCAAAATATCTGCATCCAAAAGAAGTCCCTACACCTACAAAAATAGCAGTTGCAGACAGACTCCAGATCAGAGTGTTATTCACAACATCAGACTTGTGATCAATAGCTGGGAGAGTGTTGCCAGAAATAGTCCTGCCCTGGGAAACGCTTCCTGCTGCCTCAGAACAGGTTGTGCTCCTGTCCTTCTGCAGCTTCTCCTGGATTTTATCTCCGAGTACACAGAGAGGAGGCAAAGCTGCCTGACTCTGGAGCTGTGAGTCAGGCCAGAAGCACCAAAAGCACTGACAGCCAGCGCTCCCTGTGTATTTCTACCAGGGGTGAATCCCTCGTCCCGTTCCCCCCACTTGCACAAGAGTTCACACAGCCTCTTGATGAACCGGATGGGAAATCGATCCAGCTGGAAAAGCAAAAATCCACATCCCCATTCCAACACACAAAAGGCTCTCCCAGCCAGATTGCTGCTCAGTCTGTGCTGTGTGCAGACAGGACAGAGTGCTGAGTTCTGCCCGAAGCAACCCAGCCTGGGAATGCGAGACAGTCTGAGGCTCCACCTGGAAACAATTTTCCCCCCATCCCTTTTCCCCTCTCTCCTTCCCTGCAGCGTGCCTTGGTTCCCCTGTGCAGCACCACAAACAGCTTCACCAGCACGGAGCAGGGCCCACTCCTGTGCCCAGGGCTGGGGAGAGCTGGGGCTGCTGCCAAGGAAAAGTCTTTACAACTGGGGCCAGCTAATCAGGTAAACGCTTCCAGTCTGCCCAGGCCAAGCTGTGTCCTTTGCTGTTCTCCAAATATTTATGTCTTGGTGAAACACATAAACATTTCATCAGAGATCTCCTGTTCCCAGCATTCCACGTGAAGTTGTTGTTTCCATGCTCCTAAACCCCCTTTGACATGACTAATTCACTCTGGGGGAGTTCGTGATTTGCCTCAACAGAGTCACAGAGCCCCAGAAGCCAATCCAGATCTCCAAATCCCCAGAATCCAATCCCGAACTCCAAATCCCCAGAATCCAATCCTGAGCTCCAAATCCCCAGAATCCAATCCCAGGGAAGGGATGGGGAGTGGTGACAGAAACCTCTGCACTGTTGTGTGTTCCCTACCTGCAGCTGAAATTCCTTATCCCTCTTTTTCTTTCCTTTTTTCCTCCCTCCCTCCGTCAAAAAGTGTTTGCCTCTGAACTTTCCAAAAGGAACAAAAACACAGCAGCAGTTTGGGAAGTTCATGTAAATCAGCTGGTGAATGTAAATTTAGTCATTCACTTCATGTAAATCCAGCTGGTAAATGGCAGCTTGGTCTTTCCTCTACTATTTACTAAGAATTTACACACTTAGGAAATCTCATCTTAAAATTCTGAGCTCCCCACTGGTCTACACCAGCAAATACATCAGAATTTTCCCAGTTAGGATGAGTAATTGAGGAGCTGAATTATTCAGCATTGTGTGGTCTGTGGCAGCCGAGAGATAAAATTCCCAAGTCTCTGTTACTTCATTTACTTTCTGCAAAAAGCCTTCCCTTGGTAATTTTAGAGCTCAGAGCACACTCCCCAAAAGTTTGCTGTTTCCTTAATGTTTATGAATATTTCAGGAACTCTGCTGAGAGGTTTTGGTGCATTCCAGGACAATGATTCCAGGTTTCTCTTCTGCCTGGAAACGTGGCTGGACTGTGCCACCCTCTGCATTATTCTTTTAGCCAGGATTGATTGCTATTACAGAATCAGATCCCCTGAAAATACATGAAAATACCTGAAATTATAATCCTTGATATGATATGGACACAATTTTTGGCTGTTGTGGGAGCAGAGTTCTCTCTAGAAATTTGCTCATTCCATTAAACCACGAGCAGTGCTGGAGTTAAGAAACAGAGTTTGCTTTTCTTACTCTCTCAGCTCATTCTTTTCCATTGCTTGAACTGGTAAAAACACTTGGATAAAAATCTGAAGTGACAGCAACACACAAGACCAGCAAATCAATCTTTTCCAGCTGAAATTTGATTTATTGTAAAAAAACTACAGTGATTTGCATCAGCATGTGGTATAATTTGGGAAATACTCAATTGTGGTACAAAAGAATTAAAGTATTTAAATGTAAAGTTCCATTTATCTTCTTTTGCTTATATTGATGCACTTTTAATATACCATAAGACCTCTTAAAAATACAAGGAAATTATTCACATTTTCAAACCCAGAATGTGAGAGAAGCCAATAATAAAAACTATCTGGGTCATTTCCCTCTGCAGTTAGAGCAGAGAGCTCACAGAACCTGAGAATCTGAGTTCACAGATTATTCCCCCTAAATTCATGAGCTGCTTCAGACTGGGTGTGAGAAATAATTACTTTTTAATGAATTTATTTTTTAAATTTTAATAAGGGATAAAAGGCCTGGGGTGTTTGCAAACTACCAGAGGCAAGCTAGGTAGCTTAAAACAATTTTTTAATATATATATATATTATTACATTGGTAAAATGCATATTTATGGGGATTATACATATTTAAATATTCTTGTGAGTTTACATGTTTTGGGAATTCTTTTGGCTCGAATTTTGACTCATTTTCTTAAAGTATATATTATCTTGCAGATGAAATTTATATATTTTATTTTTTGAGGCTTTGTTTTGTTGTTTGATACTTTTTGATAACTTTAGACTTCTTAGTAAATTATTTTTTGCATTTTTTCTCTTGGTGTTTATTTTCTTAGTTTTTGTTAATGTTATTATTTAGATAAGATATTCCATAAGTATATTAAATTAACATAATTTGAGTTATTCTTACTATTGTTAGTTATATAAATAAAGGCATTTAACATTATAATGTACAATACATTGCTTTTATTTTAATATTTTAATATTAAGCTATAATATATTTATTACACGAATATATAAATAATATTTATATATTTATAAACATATAAATATAAAAATAGTTTAAATATAAATATAAAATGATAGAAAATAATAGATATAGATATAGATATAGATATAGATATAGATATAGATATAGATATAGATATAGATATAGATATATTATTTTTTATATTTATAATATATAAAATACACAGGGCTTTGGCTATAAAACCTGACAGATTAAAGTAGTTAAAAGTGATCACAAATTACACTGTATTAAAATTGTTGTGATTAATAATCATTTGTAAAAGCTAATATATAGAGATGGAAATGTTTAAGGAACACAACTCAATAAATGCTTCATCCACCCCACCTCAAACCAGCTGCTCTTGGAGTACAAACCCACACTCCAGCTCAGATGGAAAATATCTAATAAGAAAATCATTTTTCTTTTGAATTTTTTAGAAAATTAGAAAGAAAATGTTTCATGCACACATTTTTATTTAAGAGGACAAAACCCCTGACTTGCTAATTTTGAATCTCCAGTCTGTGGGGCAGCTTGCCTTGATTACACTGTACTAAATTACTCATCCTGGACAGATCCTTCTCTTTATTTTCTCCTCCAAAGAAGAGCCAAAATATGATATTGCTTGGCAAGAGGAACGTGCATCTAAAATGTCAAATTACAGCTCGGAACTATTACGGGGTAGTTTTGGCCACAGCCCTCTGTGACTGTTCCAAAAGAGATTTCTCTTTCTAGGAGATCCTAAAAACTAATCCATGTTTCATGTTTGGGTTTAGGTGGTGTTTGGGGCATGGATTGCTTTGGTTGAACTTGAAATTTCTGATTTCTCCAGACTTTCAAATATTCAGATTGCAGGAACTGATAACTCTGTGTCCACACAGTGCAGCCACTGAGAAATGCAGATCATTGCTTAGCAAAATAGCCTCCTACAAATGCACATTATTTAACATAACAGAAGAATAAAATTAGGTTCATGCTGGTCAACTTTTCATCTGAAGACAGGAACTTGATTAAATCTTTGCCGTTAATTAACTGATATCAGCATTCACTAAAATTTAATGAGAGCCTGTTTCCTGGTGTTGTAATTCTAAACCAGGTGCCACCAGTACAAACAGGCCCCTGGAGTTCACTTTTCATGGGAATATGAAGAAATGGCTTTGTTTTAATTTACTTTATTTTATTTTTTAGTTTAGCATCTGCCAATTTGGTCTTCAGTGCCAAATCTGGAATAGATTGGATTCATGGAAATATAAAAGCTTAGCAGAGAAATAGAATTCAGTCTCTGTATTCTGAGTGATGGAACCATGAAGATTTTGCTATAAATGTTTGTGCAATTCAGCTTTTACTTTTGCTAACCTTGCTGTGCTAAGACAGGATGCTGGACATCATTTTAAATATTAAAATGCTTGTTAATAATACAAGTTTCATTGCTTGCTTTTGAGGAGGTCGTGCTCCAGGGAAAGGCAGATTCCAGCCTGAAACCATCCTGATATTCCATGTTCCTGCCTGGGAGACCTGGCTTTGTATAAATGGATTTTGTGGAGGTAAGAGGTGTTGGAGTCTGGGATACAGAGTGTGTGCCCTTGTTTAGTTACTTAGTTCTGAGATCCAGAAAAACACTGAATTTCATGCAATATGAAATTAATGAGCATGTTTTCATGGTGATACATGTGCAAGTATAAATATATATATATTTATATATAATATATATAATATATAATATAAGATATACAAAATATATATAATATAATATAATATCATATCATATCATATCATATCATATCATATAATATAATACAATATAATATATTATAATACAATATAATACAATACAATATAATACAATACAATATAATACAATACAATACAATACAATATAATACAATACAATATAATATATATATATATCAAATGTAAGTGTGTAGATCAGAAAGTTTTCTTAAGTCACTGGGTGAAAAAGTTAGTTTAGAGAGCAGAAGGCAAGACGGAGGATTTAGGGTGTTGTCTCTTGTCTTTCTTCTTTCTTCTTCATGTTCTTCTCCTAGAGGTTTTTGGATGATAGCAAATGATTAGACAGAAAATGCCACAGTGTAGCACATAGGGGATGGGTCATTGGGTCATTAAGAAAAATAATATACATGTCTATTGTTAATTGGGTAAAAATAGGTATAAAGATAAAAGCAGTGTGGAATTCGGGGCCATTTTGTGCTTCAGACACAAGGTGAGCCACGAGGCCTTGTTTATACCATCAGAAAAAAGAAATGCATCAGATTATAGTGATTTGGACTTGTGCAGTCAGCCTGGAGAGACCTGCCAAGGTTTCTGATGAACTTCCAATAAACACAAGAAACAAGATTCTAACGAGCTCAGGAGATTTCTTCAAATCATAAGAACTGAGATAAGCAGAGCTCCCCACGAGGGGGAATCCCAAAAGAATTCAGTCCAAAGGAGGCTGAGAAAACCAGGAAGAGAAAGAAAAATACAGAAGAAATGCAGCAGAATCAGAGAAAAAGGATTTTTTAGAGAAAAGTTAAATGGGTGGAGAGGGGAGTGTTTGGAGTGGTTCTGATGAGACAGAATTTAGGGGCCTCCAGATGATTGCTCAATCAAACTGAAGGATTCAAGCAGAGCTGCTCCTACTGCCAGATGATCATTATGTTATGGAAGAGGTTTGGATGGAAGATCTTGGGAATTCAGTGATAGAGTAATGATGAATCCTCCCCAGACTTGTCAGATATCCCATCGCAGGAACTCTGCCTGCTTTGCTGATGATTGAAAAAGACATCTTGGCAGACCCAAATCAAAGATTTCCACAGCTTTGGAGGGCTTGAGCCTTTTAACCACATGGTAATTATAAAGACTATAAATAACACTGAAAAATCCAGTTCAAACAGCCCTCAATAAATTATTTTAATGTGCTGTTATTGGCCCCCTCCTTCAGGATATCACAAGTCTGCACTGTCAGTGTGACAGGATGAAATGTGTTCTGTCAAATCAACAGCTCAGCTCTGCCTTACAGACTGAGGGAAGCCTTGATTCCCTGTTTGTGGCATCTGGGGACACGGGGCAGTTCTGGAGGAACATTTGGACTCGATGGTCACAGAGATTTTCCAACCTAAACCATTCTGTAACTCCATCAAAGCTTCACCCAACGTGAGGAAAGCTTTGTCACCTGAAAGGATAATAGGGAAGAGCCACCAGGAGAGTTGTCTGGGTCTGTTCTCTCCATGTTTGTCAGATGAAAATGACTCCAGGAACCCTTGAATTGTGGCTTTTCTTGCCCAGTTCCTTGCTGAGGGAGCCCAGGGCAGCTGAGTGCAGACAGTGGCTCTGAAGGACCTGAGCTGGGCAGTGTCACCCACCCAGTGCTGCTCTGGTGGTCACAGCTTGGCCTCAGTGGTCCTGGAGGTATTTTCCAGCCTCAGTTAATCTGGGATTCTGTGAAACATTAAGTCTAGCTCTGAGTTCCCAAATGTAGAAACAGTGGCAAAATCCAGCTTTCCTGCCTCCCAATCAGTGATGAATGTTTGCCTTGGAAATCTCTCCAAGTATTTACACTCTGGAGCAGGGCTGCTTCAGCTGGAACACTGCAGACCTGTGGATTTTCTTCCTGCTCCCAGCTGCTCTGCTCATTACCAGGTGTAAATATCTGCTCACCAAACTCAACCCTCCGTGCTTGTTTTGATGTTTGCCACATTTGAGTATCTTTCCAAACCATGGAAAAGGTTTTTCTAACAAACAGAAAATGTTCCCCACTATCTGTGTGCTGGAAATGACATGAAACACCCTTTTCCTGTTCAGTGAGAAAATGTTCCATGTTGTCAGTATTTGCAGGAGAACAGAACTAAGAATTCACCTTTTACTGAGAACTAAGCAGGCCTCTTGAACACTTTTAATCATCTTTAAACTGCACATTGGAGCATCTTTTTAATGTTTTAGGTGCACGAAACAAACAAGAACCTGCATCAAGTAATACTAAAACCCACCCTGAAGACAGAGCTCACAGCCCCAAAATTGGGGATTGTGTGGAAACCCTGCTGAGCCCTTACTGCACCTTTAGGCAGCAAAATCCTTTTGAAAATCTGGGCTTTAGGCCCAACCCTGCCAAGAGTTCTCTGTGGAAAGCTCCTCCTCCTGCCTGGGGCTGGCTTTGTAAGGGCTCAGCTTCCCAAACAGCCTAAAGCAGGCAGGAAGAAATCATGTCAGAAGTGGCAAATAGATGAGTTCCCAGATGATTGATTCAGATCCTTTCAGAGACAAGAATTCTGATCTGTGAACAGCTGGAAAGCGCTGCTGGCTCCTCTCTGGTGCCAGTCTGTGTGTGGTCACCGTGGAATGTGCTCCATATGCCCTTTGGACACGTGTCAAAAGTCACATGCCATTAATTTCTCCAAACCTTGCAGTATTAAAGGTGTAGAAAGGTTGTAGAAATGGAAAGTGCCTTATAAATGTGAAGAATTGTTTCCTGTGGTTTAGTTATTTTACTTTTTCCAATGCAGATTTTTTTCCTGATGGCACAATTTGAGCTCTACCTCTGAGATTTTTGTCCCAGAATTAAATGACTCGGAACAAAAGGGACTTTTAACAGAAGATTGCAGCGTGTAACTTTTGTAGAGTCCTTAAAGGCAGATTGGATTCAGTGGCATTCGTGGCTCCAAAGATGCTGCCCAGAGCAGCTGGGGCTGCTCCTGGATCCCTGGAAGTGCCCAAGGCCAGGTTGGACAGGGCTTGGAGCAGCCTGGGACAGCGGGAGCTGTCCCTGCCCATGGCAGGGGTGGCACTGGATGGAATTTAAGGTCCCTTCCACCCAAACCATTCCAGGATTCTGTTTGGTCACACAGATCCCTGGATGGATAAGCAGGACCTCAAAGAGTGGCTGGGACTTGTCTGACTCTCCTTGTCAGCCTACACACTGTGAGGGAACAAACACAATTCCAAGGCTTGTTTCATTCCCAACAGAGAAAAGAGCAAAAATCATCACTCAGAATCAACACTGTGTCAGACAGACATGCAAAAAATTATTATTAGATATTTCAAAAGAAGCCTTTTTAATAGCAATTGTTCTATGTGGGATTTTTTTCTTTCTTTTATTTTTAATTTCAGTATAAAGTATTTGGTATTTGAAGTCTTTAATTGTGTTGGCAAAAAGCCACTAAGAGGCTTTGATTTTTGGAAACAAATCCATGTGACTTATCCGAGTGGGATCATAATGGCTACAAGTACCCATCCATTAGGAGCTATTTTTAACAATGAAGTCAGAACTGGAATGTGAAAGTAAAGCTAAGACTAAACTACAAAAATGTAAAACTTGCAATATTCTTAAAGATTCAACTGTCCTGCAGTTACAAAATAGCTAAAGTTCCTCCTGGTGCCTGTATCCCAACTTATTTTATCCCAAATTACATTATTCCCAAACATCTACCAACAAAACTCTGGGTATGGACAGTGCTCCTACACTGAATGGTCAAGGTGTGTTGGAGCCTTTCCCAGCTTTTTTCCTGTTACTTTTTGCTTTAGTTCATTATTGGTTTGTGCTTCTGCATCTTTGACCTGTCTTTCATTTTGTTCCTGTCTGTATTTTTGTTCCCAGTTGTCTCCTTTCATGGTTTATTTGTCCTCGAGTGGTTTTGGCAACTCCCTGTCTAGTTTCAATCATGCAGGATGATCTGCATCCATCATTCCATGTGCAACAGGCAGCAGAGTGTGGATGGGTCCTTGATGTGCCCAGTAAGTAAAACCAGAGACAGAATCCCAGACTGCTTTGGGTTGGGAGGGACCTTAAATCCCATCTCATCCCAGCCCAGCCATGGCAGGGACAGCTCCCACTGTCCCAGGCTGCTCCAAACCCATCCAGCCTGGCCTTGGGCACTGCCAGGGATCCAGGGACAGCCCCAGCTGCTCTGGGAATACCATCCCAGGGCCTGCCCACCCTCACTGTAAAACTCTGCCTAGTATCTGACTGAAATCTCTTCCCCTTCAGTTTAAATCCATTTCCCCTTGTCCTGCTGCTAGAAGGTGGTGGCAGGAGGGGGTGAGCTCATTCTGGGCCATGCAAGGACTCTGTGAGCACACGGAGCTCAGAGCAGGCAGCTTCCAGAGGGTGGGATGGGTACACAGCATCCTGCTCTGGGAAATGGGGATTGATGGAGGGGAGCAGAACCGGGAAAACTGCTCAGTGTGAGCAGCTGGGGTGAATCCAAGGAGTGCTGGGGGAAGGACAAAGCATTGCCCAGAGCCACGGGGATGGGAGAGCAGTGGGAAAAAGGTGATGGTGAGCTCAGGTTGGAGAAGAGAAGCTCCAGGGAGAGCTCAGAGCCCCTTGCAGGGCCTGAAAGGGACAAGGCCTGCAGGGACAGGACACAGGGAATGGCTGCCAGTGCCACAGGGCAGGGCTGGATGGGATCTTGGGCAGGAATTGCTCCCTGGGATAGAATTCCCATAGCAGCTGGGGCTGCCCCTGGATCCCTGGCAGTGCCCAAGGCCAGGCTGGAGGCGGTGGAAGGTGTCCGTGTCACGGCTGCTGCCCGCTCCCGTTCCCGATCCCATCTCCGCTCCCATTGCCATTGCCGTGGCGGCCCGGGCGGGGCGCGGCGAGGGAGGGGCGGCGNCTGCCCGCGGCCCCCGCTCCCGGCGCTGCGCCCCGGCCCGCACAGCCCCGCCAGCATGGCCGGGGCCATCATCGAGAACATGAGCACCCGCAAGCTCTGCATCGTCGGGGGCATCCTGCTCGTGTTCCAAGTCATCGCCTTCCTGGTGGGAGGGCTCATCGGTGAGTGCCGGGGGCCGCTGCCTTCCTCCTCCTCCTCCTCCTGCCCGCTTGTTTAGCGCTGGTTACAGTATCGCTGACTCGCTCCCATGATCTCATTATCCGCTTTTGTAGCCGAGCGATCGGGCCCTTTGTGCCCGTCCCGCGGCTGCTGCGAGGGGAACCGGCCAAGGAAAAGTTTTTGTGTTGCTTTCTCCCTTTTTTAAAATTTATTTATTTATTTTTTTTTGGCCTGGTTTCAGCCTGGATTTAAAGAAAGAGGGAAGTGGGAAAGCTTCAGTATGGCGACGGAACGCGCAGGGAGCCTCGCGTTTCAAAGTTGGCTTAGGAAAAAAATAATAATTTATTTTTTTAAAAGGATTTTTTCCTCCCTTCTTGGCGCTGCACCTCCCCGTGCCTCGGCCTCCGAATCGGCCGCGGGAGGAAACCTCCCCCCTTACCCGAATGAGAACAAAAAGATATTAATGATAAATCTAGGAGGGGGGAAAAAAGGAAAGAAAAAGGGGAATGACTGGTGGGAGGGGGGTGCCGGCTCTGGGGTGTTTTTAGGACTCGCGATTTGTCCGGGCTCGTTTCTGGGGGGGATTCCCCCTCCCCGATCCCGTCCCAGGAGGGGTCCCCTCTCCTCCCTCCCACCGCCCCAGCTCTGTCAGGACGGGTCCCCTCCCTTCCACCTCCCCATCTCCTCCAGGAGGAGCCCCCTCCCCTGCACCTCCCGCTCCAGGAGGGACCCCCCATTCCCGACCCTCTTCCAGGAGCCTCGGCCTGGGTTTGTTCCTGCCCGTGGAAAACCCTCGTGGCTGCCCAGGGAGGGATTTAATCCCTGTCCCGGGGCCCCCCGGCTCCGCACGCCAATCTCCGCACCGGGCACTTTAAAGCCCTGATTGTGTTTATTTACCCCCGAGCATTCCCAAAGGCAGGGAGATGGGAACTGGGTTCCCTGGGGGATGGAAGGAGGGAGATGGAGGAGTGGGAGTTTGGGGCAGTCCTAGGATTTTTTAAATCTTTTTCTTTTTTTTTTTATTTATTTTTTTTTTACTAGAAAGCAGCCGAGTTCTGCGCCGGCTCCTTGGAATGATGGGCGCATGGATGTGGCTGCTTTGGCCATTTCCAGGGTGGGAATGTTGCGTTTCTGTCCGGGAAGGACTGTCCAGCCCTGCGGGGCAGCCCCCACTCCCTGGGGCAGGGCCATCCTTTCCTCCCGGCCGCGATCCTTGCGGAGCTCGGGGGCGTTTCAGGAAGAATCGGGGTCAAATTCACTCTGAAACTTTGTTGTTCTTTGTTGGGAGAATAAAGTTGGGCTGTTCTCTCTCGCTGAGAGGGATTGAGGGAATAGCCCCAGCCACTCCTCGGGAAGCTCTGTGCTCCTGGTGCCCATCAGGGCTCTGCCTTCATGGCCTTGAATTATCAGCCTCTAATAACCAGAAAATTCCACTAAACAATTTTGGAAAACTTCAGTTTCCCTCATTCTCTTATTTCCTCAGCTCCATCACAAGGGAGTCACTGGCACATATTGACTAAAACTCGTTTTTCCTGCCCTTGCAGGCCTGAAACCACACAAAGTTTATCTGGATTCATTTTTTTCCTTCCTTTTTTTTCCTCTTTAAGAGCTGGTTCAAGAGCAGGTTACTGAACCCGCCGCTGATTCCTGAGATAAAATGTCTTGGCCTGTGCTGTGCAGAGAAGCCAGACTTCATCTTAAAAGGGTTTTTCCAGCAGTTTCTTGCTGCTAAACTGAAATAGTTGCTTGTTCCAAAGGCTGGTGTGGCTCAGAAAGCCCTGTTTGTGCTGGCATCCGGGGACAGATGTGACAAACAGATGTTTATGGTTGGCTTTACAGGGAAAACACAAATGTTTCTGCTCAGTTCTGAAGGGATTCAGAGATTAAAGAATTTAAATTATGTTAGTTCAGCTTTCCAGCTGGTTTATGCCCTGCTTTATTGGCTGCTGCTGCTGGGCATCCACCTTGGGCCCTCCCATCCCGGATGGGTCTCCCAGGTGGGGCTGGAAAGCTGCACAGACAGGTTGGATGGGCTGGGGCCAGCAGGGACAGGGATTTGGGGCTGAGTTCAATGCCCTGCACAGGCTCAATCACTCCAATCCTGCTGGAGTAAATGCATCTTCTATCTGTGGTCAAGTCCCAGGGGGAGCTGCCCCAAAAGTTCTTTAATTCCTGGAAATCCCCACTTGGATCTTCCCTCCGGTCAAACTGCTCTAATCAGTCATCCAAACAGTTTTTTCCTCTGCAGCATTTACCCCTTCTGATGCATTTAAGGAGTTTAGAGGCTCCTCCCTGAGCCAGCAGCTCCCAGCCAGCCCTCCTGGGAGCAGAAATCCAGGGATATTTGGTGCTTGTGAAACATTAAGTTCCATGTGTAACCTAGGTGTGGTCCCCAACATCTGGCAGGGTGACACACGGCCTGGGAGGCTGAGCAGCTCTCCCCAGGAACCTGCCTTGCTTTGGGCTCCCTGTGTCCCTGGAAACTGCTCCAGGGGCTTGGGACTGGCCCCTTCAGTGGTCCCCAAGCACGTGGCGTTTCCTCCAAGGAGATTCCTCGTGCTGAGCCGTGCCTCGGTGGCCGGCGTTCCGAAGGGATCAGAGTCGTGCTGGGAGAGCTCCCGGGGGTGACACCAGGTGGGGAGGGAGCAGAGGTGGCACTGACACAGTGGCCCTGCTCTGGTTTGATCCAGTGCACCCAACAGACACCAAAATCCGGTTATTTTGGTGTGCCCAGGTCTAGACAACCCAAAATACGTACACGAGTGGGACAGGGCTGCAAAGCCGAGCCAGCCTTTCCCCTCGCAGGCACTTAGGTCATGTTTCAAAACAATGACTAAGTGCTCTATTTTAACAGATCCCTCGTGCCAGTCCAAAACACCCAGATGCAGCACGTTGGTACCTGATAAACCACCACAAAGCTGCTTTTCCTCACACTGGGGGCTTTCTGCCACTGCTGCTTCCCAGCTCGCTTTTGGGCACTCAGTGTGCGATGCCGGAGTTTTAATGCGACTTCCACATTTCTCTTTTATTTAGCAGCAGGAACCTTATCAGCTCTCAGGTGGGATTTGCTCAGAGCTGTCTGTTGGCAAAGCATGAGATGCACATGGACAGGAGAAATTGCTGTGGCAGGAGGAAGCTCCAGTGGCACCAACTCCCTGACAGGAGCGTGCAGCCAGGTGGGGGACAGGCTCTGCTCCCAGGGAACAAGGGACAGGATGAGGAGAAACGGCCTCAAGTTGTGCCAGGGGAGTTTTAGGTTGGATATTTGGGAAAATTTTTTTGTGGATAAGGTTGTCCAGCCCTGCTGCAGGCTCTCCAGGGCAGTGGAGGGATCTTTGAAAGCTCAGAAGGGCGCAAACGCCCCAAAAGTGAATTTTATTGGTTTGTTTCTTTGCTGTGCTGTGGTGATGAAGTGCTGGCTCCAGAAAGTGGGGCTGTCACTACTTGAAACCCCACAGAATCCCTGGTGTCTGCTCCCTTTGTGGAAAACATCTTGTTTAAAGGTCACGCTTCTGGGCTGTGTGTGATGTGTTCACTCGGGATGCAGCAGTGGGAGATAGAACATGATCCACAAAATTAATCCTAATGCAGCCTTGTCTCCACTATCCCGCTGTAAATGATGGCATGTGTGGATTGCAGGAGAGTGGGATCACCAGGAATGGTTTCTGTTATCGTTTGTGAGGAATGAGGCTGATGATGATTTACAGCCACGCCGGCATTCCCGGGAGCCCCTGCCTGCTCTGCCTTCCCTGGATCCAGCGTGGTTGTCCTGGGATGCCACCAGGCTGGAGCTGGGACAGCCCTGGACAAGGCATGAGGACAAACCTTGGACCTCCAGTCCTGGGGCAGCATTGGGTCCCTCAGGACAAGACAGATCCTGAGGGGCTGGAGCGTGTTCAGGGCTGGGGAAGGGGCTGGAGAATCCCTGAGGGAGCCGGGAAGGGGCTGGAGAATCCCTGAGGGAGCCGGGAAGGG